GATAAGTTACAACATGAAATTCAAAACTCCAATTTTGCTTGAAATCCAGGTCCTATGGGGAAAATTCGATATCTCAGCAACAAAGCTGATTGCGCACGAACCAAGTTGGGATTCTTCATAGTCCATGTGGGTCTAAATTTTAAAAATAGTCCCACTCAAAAAGATTTTTAGCACCTCAGAAGGTTCCCTCGTTAGTTGATTTCACACGACCAAGATTCCTTTTTATCAAACTATTCCCAATGAGAATCTCATATGTTCGTTCTAGACTTCATGATGGAAAGCTTGTCTCAAAGCGACGAGGAAGAACGAATTGCCAGCTTTTCCAAAATTAAAATAAAAGACCCAGACCAAGTCACCTGGCACCATTCGTGGTCACTTGATGAAACACTAGATGCTCTGTCAGAATCTCCGTTTATCGCCATTCCTACTGAAGTCATGTTGCACATATTTCGATTACTCTACGTACGTGATCTATGTAATGTCTCACTGGTTTGCCGGTTGTTCAAAACGATCGCCGATCAGGATGAAATTTGGAAACTAAAATGCAACAGTAAGTATTGTTTCTTTCTCTTTATCATCATATGAATTCATTTCCAGTATGTGGAATAGCATCAGAAAAATTGCATTCAAAATCATTCAAACAGATTTATATGCAATGGATGCATGAAAAGTGTTTACGAAATACAGAATTGAAAAGCAGACAAGTAATGTATGAAAGTTATCTCACAAGCGGATGTATTAGACGTGCACCGCCTACATATCCTGTTCGGCCGCAATACAAACAACGATTTGAATCTATTGGCGGCTTTACTCAACATCCAAATTCATCGCAAGACATGTAAGAAAAGTTACCATTCTGCGTATTATCTTGAAAATCCTTATCTATCAATCTTAGCACTAGCTTGCTGTGCGCTATATTTCATCCTAATACAGAAATAATGAAGCTTTTTGTTAATGAAAATAAATGAATTTCAACACAAAATGGTTCGAAAAATATATCATATTAACTTAACTTTTTTTTGGTAAAAGTACTGATAAACTTGTGTTCTAGTTTTGTTAAAAATTGAAAATTTTCGAAAGAGAACTTGAAACCTCTACAACGTTTCATTTTTTTAAATGGATAGTAGTGTAATTACTAATTTCTCTACAGTAGAAAGAAATCGGTGAATGTTACTGCATCAAACGATGAAAGTCGTCGTATTGAGGTGATTTGGAATGCTAATAGATGTCCAGCCATTCTTTTTGCCGGACTAGGGAAGGTGTTCATATGGTTGTGAATGCAATGAATACAAGTATAGATAGCTCGATGTACTGATCACGGTCATGCACAACTCCATACGTATGAATATCATGAATGGAAAATCATTTGAATTTTACGTTTCAAGTAGACACCTCGAGACACGTGTTGGAAGGCTTTCATTTGAAGGATATGTATTATAGTATCAAGTGACGAGAATTTTTACCATACGTTGCACGTATTCGACCCATGGCAAAATTTGATGGCTTTTTCTAGAGATGCATACCTCGAGACTTTTACATATTCGGAATTAGGGCGACGAGTTACTTTGTACGGCGCAAAGATCTCGTCAGGACGGGACTATCTCCAGTTTTTGGACCCGATGGCTCCGTTGGAGGTTTTCACGGCATATTACAAACTATACTTAGCGGTAGACATCAAACACACCGCGTTCACTTTTCCTTCTTTTGATCTTACTTGTCTTCCGTCTCATATTTTTTTCTTAAGTGCTCGTATATATGTGCAAAGCGCTTTATTTCTCTTTATGGAAAAGAACAAATTTTCTATTTTAATTTATATATTCGTTTATTTTATGTCCAAAAGTAGCAGTGCTCATCCGATATGCTGCCATTTATTACACTATTTTCCTCATTTCTTCTCTTTGCTCAAAGCAAATCTCAACTACTATACACCACTCGATAGAGAATATCACGGGCTAAAAAATGATACATAAAATGTTGAGATCAAATTGAGAGTGTTCTAACACTAGAAATACTACCGGAGAGTAAAGTTTTCGGCATCGACAGATAGGCTAAGTTTATATAAAACCAACCACCATTTACATCGACCTTCGACGTCTTAGCCCGTGAAATTCTCTATCGAGTGATATATAAAGTGGAGTAGTTAATGACAAAATGGATGGACAATATTATAAGCGATGAAAGCGGTTGACATGGATTTGTGGAGGTCGGAGCTGGTATTTTTAGTGTTAGGGCACCCAGGCCCAACTTGATCTCAATATTATATATATCATTTTGTAGCCGGTGAAATTTTGTATCGAGTAGTGTATAGTGGTTGAGGTTTGCTTTGAGCAAAGAGTAGAAATGAGGAAAATACTCTAAATAAAGTTCACCTCACGAGAGAAAAGTTTGTATGCGAAATTTTTGCCAGGGGGATGAAAATGGTTTTTTTGAGGTACTAGTTTTAATCACGGAGAAAAACTACATCAGACCTATGAATATAAGCTTGATCTGAGAAGGGGCCAATTTTGCCCCTTATCGACCTCCGTCCTTTGTTTGCCAATATTAAACGTCACAAGTGGAAAAGAGGCATATCAAACGTAGATGATTTTCAATATGTCCCATTTGCCTCGCTCGAAAAAAAGAAATCAGGGCAATGCCTTAATACTCTATCCTTTATCAAATGGAATATTTTGATGCAGCTGATGATTGTCCTAAACATGTTAGATAGGTAGCAATGAAAAACTATAGTACACAAATTAGGTTTGACTCATCATTCAGTAGAAAGATGTCAAGAAACAGAGATCCAATTGCAGATGATGGCGCTTTGATGCAGTTATTCTCTTCTATTCTACCAATCGAAGCTGGCGATGAACCGATTGTTAACATCGACTGAAATCAACTAGCGTTAATTGACAAAACATGTTCGAATTTTCTCTCAGAGTAAAATTTTGCCGCTTAGGAAATGTTCAGATCGACCGATGAAGGTGATGCTAAACTGTCTTGTTTTCGGACTTTCAAGTTTTCAAACAGAATGCATCATTCAATAAAGAAAATATTAGTTCGATTCGCAAAATTAGCAACTATCTGACGAAGAGAGGACGTTGTCATCAGTCAACAAAACAATACCTCAAAGTACTCGATAAACGATTACAGCATCAAATGACCTACTCCCTCCTCTCCCACCTGTCATCAAACGTCACTTTTCAAAGAGTCCTTCCTCCTCCCTCTTAGTGATGACGTGAGGGCTCCTAGGTTCACTCGTAAATGACGTCATCTCTTTATAGACATTTTTTTGACGCGTTCGAAAAAACCTGCATATTACCAATGGTTTTTTGAAACAAATTGCGTTATGAGGAGGTGCTAAATACGTATTTCTGAATTGCTCCGCCTGCGTTACATCAGCTATGTAGTAACAGCAGAAGTAGCAAATCAACGCATAACTAGCTTGCTGTACTTCGATTTTCGTGCAAAACACCGAGTTCAAGTAGGAGAAAACAAAGACTGTCCTCGGTACCCGGCGCGGGTACCGGGAACTCTCGAATGGGGGTTACCCGCGAGATAAATAAAACATGGAACGCGCGTTAAGTTCTCTTTTACCAATTTCCTTGCGACGGTTCTTTGAAGTAGAGGAGGTATCTAAGCTCTTTTGCATTTTCTCAAAATGTAACCAAAAATTAAATAGCGGAATAGCGCAGATTTGAACATTTGTGTCTAATAAGCACATTCATGATTTTTAGCTAGTACAGATTCTGTTCTAGCTTTCACTAGATGATGCACTGTTTGTTTTTATCTATTCGCTAGGACTATCAAGCTGTCGGTCGATATAGACAATACAGTTCGTGAACTCATATCGCTATTGGAAAAGGCGTCTGAATTTCACGAGAAATGGTACAAATCAGCTATATTAAAACAAATGATAACAAGATACTATCGATTCATGCAGCTGAAAGCATGCCATCCATCAATCATTCTACTGGTTCCCACATTGGATATTGAAATCGTTTGGCAAACTCACCTACTCCGACCGGAGATGTATCGAGCCGATTGTCTTCGCTTGTTTCGCCGAGTCATCGATCATTCATTGTTGACCACTGATATTATTCAACAGTTTTTAAATGAACAGGCATTTCTAGATACGCGCCAGCTGTACGAACAACGATTCGGCGAACAGTATTGTCCATTATCATCTAGCCACGTGACTTCTCTCTATTCTTATTGGGATCGAACACATTTTGAGTTTTCACCGCAACCACCTGACGATTATGAGAATCCTTTCTCGTTTACCGAAGCTGACATCATCCTTGATGGCAATTGGCTCGATCTATGCAAACAGTTTATGTGCGATACGTTGGAAAAAGTTCCTATCAAATACTACTATCGTCGCAAATCGAAAGAAATCAATCTCGGGTCATCAGCATTAAAACGATTGAAAAAATCGTATGAACGATTTTTGTACATGGCAGCTAAATATCCACTTAAAGATGGCAAGAGTTTTGTATCCCCAACTTATGCGGTAAATATTTTGCCACTAGTGGAAAATAAATCACAGCTTACTTATCTATGCTTTTTCAGATCGACATCATTTGGCATTCTCATATGCAACAGCCATTGAACTATGCGGCTGACTGCGTCCGTCTCATTGGTTATGTCATTCCTCATTCTCCATGGCCGATGATCGAGGAAGATACAATGAAGAAATCGCGTGATGGAACGGACGATATTTGGAAGCAGGAATTTGAAAGTGAGATATCAACAGATCATCTCTACAATACAGTCAGTAGCAGCAATGATTTGTCTGACTAAGGCACTATACATAACTGCATGAATTTAAAACTTCCTTAATTAATCAAGAATAACTGTTTTGTGTAAGCCTCTTTTTACATGATCAAGAATATTTTTCACTTTGGTCACATATCGCATCGTGATATCATTTCTTCATAGATTCTGGTGTCGGTCTCATGCCTTTAGAATGCCATCGATACTCATTAAAGTATGAAATAAAAAATTTCGGCGCTGTGGCAGCCAGTACTACAATAGCTCGAAACTATCGAGGAAAAGTCCACAAATAGTTTCATTGTTTTGGACTTGATTAGCTTGCAATGATCCTTTCCGAGCTTTTCCATTCCATATATGAATATAGAGGAAAAGAAGTATCATTGTTAGATAAAGATGAGAAGGAGAAGAGTTTCTGGCATAATTCAATCAATTTTTACACATAGCCGTTCAGTATTGATCGAGGAGCTTTTCTACGATTGATCCGTTTCCAAAATAGTGCGATTATGTCAACCTTTCGCTCTCTAAGTAATTTACTTCGGCAAGTTCTCGCTAATTTTTCACCTTTATCAGCGAGATTGTGCGTATGTTGTTTTTTCTTGGATACGTATAACCCGTACCCATTTTGAAACATTTCACCGAAAATTCCAGGATATTCCTAGAAAAACAGGATCGGAATGATCATATAGTCTTCAACACCGGATACCAGTTGATCAAAAACATTTTGGTTTCTATGCTCAACTAATCGGTGAGAAAGCTGATTCTTGCATTGGAAAATGCGTCTTTGCATTTCCGGCGATCTCTGAAACGTTTAACTCATTTGACCTAGTCGTTTAAG